TTGAGACTCTGAGATGGCTCCATCCAGAACCTCCCTTAATCTCAAGGCAAGGATTTTTGCAATAAGCTTATAAATACAACCAATAGACTTATTGGTCTAAAGTCCTTAACATATGACCCCTCACCCTTCTTAGGGATGAGGGCAATGAAAGATGCATTTAACAACTTTCCGAACCTCGCATTAGAATGAAACTCATGAAAAGTGCCCATCACCTTATGCCTCACCACATCCTAACTTTCCAACAAAAAAGTCATTGTAAATCCATCCGGACCGGGGCTTATCACCATTGCGGCTCTTCAATGCTTTCAACACCTCCTCCTTGGAAAAAGGAATTTGCAAGTCATCCCTATCCATTACTGAAACTGAGTCAAAGTGAAGTCCATCAAGTTGAGGTCTCCAATCTAAAGGCTTAGCATAAAGCCTTTGGTAGAAGGAAACAATCCCCCTATGCACCTCCTCCTCCGCACACAACTCCACTCCATCCACTCTAATCCGCCCTATGTGATTACCATTCTGTGGGCATTGGCAAGTCTGAAAAAACTTCATATTCCGATCACCCTCTTTTAGCCATAAAGCCCAAGATTTTTGGCGCCACGAAATCTCCTCAATAACAACAATCTTTGCAATCTCCGCCTGACAAGCTGTTCTCCTGTTGCGTTGTGTCTCACCAATACCACCCACCTCTTCCAACCGATCAATCTCGATAATCTCAACTAGTGCCCTGTTCTTTCTCTACTCCAAATTTCCAAAGGTCTCCTTATTCCATCTTTTAAGCTCAGTCTTAAGAAAAAGAAGCTTTCTAACCAAAATGAAACTCTGCGTACCCACCACCGTGGCCTCCTCCCACGAAGCCCGAATTTTCCCCTGAAAATCATCTGCTCTAAGCCACATTTTCTCAAATCTGAAGGGGGTACACCGAGAACGCATTCTTCCACAGTCCAAAACTAACGGAATATGATCAGAAGTTACCCTAGCCAAAGCAGCCTGAACAACATCCGGAAACTTCTCTTCCCACTCCCCAAAAATCAAGAATCTATCCAGTCGGGAAAAAGTGGGTGAATCCCGACCGTTGGACCACATAAAAACATCACCCTCTAAAGGAAGGTCGATAAGATAATGCCTGTCAATGAACTACGAAAAATGTGTCATAGCCATAGACCATCTACCACCTGAAGATCTCTAAAGGGGACCTAACCACGTTCCCCAGCCACACACCTCGGAAGAGACCACATCCTCTTCACAACGTTGAGCTCCTCCCACAACACAGTCTCTCGCTATCCTCCACCGGCCCATACACCCCTGAGAAGGCCCATTAAAAACCATCCTCCTCCATCACAAAAGCACATGAAACAGAGAATCTCCCTCTCCAAACATCCACCCTTGCCATCCATCTCCTATCCCACATGATAAGAATACCACCAGTGGACACTGAAGCATCCAACACCTCCCATTCCACAAACCGACTACCCCAAACGGCCCAAAGGCTCCTAACCACCCTATTCGTCATCGAAGCGACCTTTGTTTCTTGCAAGCACACCACATGAGCCCCCCATTTTCTCACTGCCAACTTCACCACCTTCCTCTTATCCGGTTCGTTGAGACCACGGACATTCCAAGAAATAAGTCGTAGCTTCATGAGGAAACTATGTCAAGAATCCCTCCATTAACCCACCCCCCGCCCCCCCTTCCCTTTTTTTGGGATAAGTAAGAAAATTTCAATAAAAAGCATTCAAAAGGAGAACACGTCCCAAAACAACAAAGGGATCCTACAGTCCTAAGGAAGAGATAAACACAATTTTATCCTCCGGGAAGGAGCAATGCCTGCCCGAACCCCAAAAGCATAACAAAGAAATAAAAGTGGATTTTAGAGCAACAATAGAGGATTCCACTCCTTCAAAAGATCGATTGTTCCGCTCCCTCCACAAACACCACTATAAGCACAACGGCGCAATCCTCCAAGACCCACGAGCATGGCCTCCCACATGGCATCCTCTCCAAGCCTCCATCAAACCTCTCGCTGATCTAGGCATCACCCACAACACTCTAAACATACCAAACACAAGGCACCAACAGTCAACAGCTACTGGACAGTGTAAAAGAAGATGATCTACCGATTCGCCATTACATTTGCACATGCAGCACTAGTTAACTATGATATGTCTTCGTTTCCTCAAATTATCAAGAGTCAAAATCTTACCCCACACCACTGTCCAAGAAAAGAACGCCACTTTGAGTGGCACCTTAGATCTCCACACAGTTTTCCACGGAAACCTAGTCCCTGTAAGCTCTGAAAGGCAACGGAAGAAGGATCTCACTTCAAACCTTCCTTTAGCAGAAGGCATCCAAACCAGCGAATCTCTACCTGTACCACCGATCTCATGTTGATACAAGTGCTCTAGCAACCAATTAAATAAAAATATTAGATATATGAATATTTAGCAGTGCCCCAGCGTCCTTCGTTTGGGGATTTGATGTGTTTGATGTCTGGATACACACCTTCACCCGACACACGTACCCGAGTCCAGGTAACATAGTCTATCACAAGTTAAGGTTTTGTATCAATAAGTTTCAGAGTGTTCCTCGGTATCAGAGCATTTTTACGTTTTGCATCACATAACTCTGCAAGATTGAAACTGAGAATCAAACCGATTAATACATTTCTGAACCTAAGCATTGAACAAGCCATGCTTAATCTGTTGATTAATCCAATAATCAATGAATGCTTTGAGTGGGTTAATTTGAAACAATCCATGCAGAAAATAATAACACATTGTATATGCTTCTATTAGCATTATACATCTATGTAACTAATATTTGACTCTTAGGCTGTTAGTTAGCTTGAGTATTCAACTCAAAACCAACCATACATTATTTCTACTTCCATTTGGTGAACCGAGAGCTAGATCCAGTTACAAAGCCTTCAATCTAGATTGAGCCAGCATCAGGTTGAGTCTATCATGTTCCTTCTTGAACTGACCCAACTTAGGATGGTGCAATTGATTCACTGACATAAATGGCTCAACTTTTATTCCTAAGAAAAAAAAAAGGTTCCAGTCAAGAAATTCTCATCTTTCTCGTATATAGAAATCTTGGGTGAATTCTCACTTCTTTTTTTTTTGCGTACAGTTGTACCTTTGTCCTTTTGTTGCAAATGTTATATAGCACGCAAAACAACTATTTAGGTGCCCTTACAGTAAGAATCTCACATCACATGTGGCGTAATATTTAGAAGGTAGGTAATGGGGTTGTTGGGCTTCAGAAGTCTCATTTGAGTTGGCAGATCAAGTCTGAAGAGTCAATTTGAGGAAATAATTTTCCTCAATGGTAAAGTCCTTAATAAAGTGCCTCAATCATTGCTGATATGAAGCGATTGATCTCCAAGGCCAGCAATACCCTAGTTGGAAACTAAGCCCAAATGATACTTTGAAGCCCTGGGCTCCTCATAGCGACTCGTAAGGAAAGAAAATTGCTGGGTTATAATGATATGATGTCCTCAAGATGTGAGAACTTCAAGATATGGGGATTTTGAGGTCATCTTTTAAGGGAATATGCACTCAGCAAAAAAAAAAATTAAAAAAGAAGAAAAAAGGGATACATATGAAAGGAAGCTACTAAAAAACATGAGCAATGTACACTACACAATTCCTTTCAGCATATATATATATTTTTGAAGATTTTAACAGATAGAAAATGAATGAGTTTCAAGTTTAATGTTACAGAGAACGAGACACTAGAGATATTGAAATTTGTAACTATTCATTCAATAGCCATAAAAAACCCATGGGGACTGAATATTTCAATGATGGTTTTCTAGATTACATTATTTAAGAACTGACTTCGGATGAATCTGTGGAGAAAGGTATACATGCTTCTGCAGAATCAAAGAAAAATTAGCTATGGAGAATCTTATGCGAGTCTTAATTTTGGGCTTGATGATCACTCTAAACTAATTTTGGGAGATTAACCTTGGTTTAAGTCAATATGTCAAACAGCCCATCTTTTTCTCAACAATTTAATGTAGTTTAGTAAAACTTTGCCATTCATGAGAGTGGTTCTTTTTATATCCACATCTTATGATTGGAAGCTATATAAGCCTACTTCTGTCCTACCACATTCTAGGGTGAATAGTCTACTTTGTATTTATGCTTCTTGCACATGGCATGGCATCCCGTGTTCCCATCAACATTGGGCTAAATGTTATGCATACCTTATTGACTACTAAAAAGTCTAAAATAGCTATGTAAGCCTACTTCTGTCCTACCACATTCTAGGGCGAATAGTCTACTTTGTATTTATGCTTCTTGCACATGGCATGGCATCCCGTGTTCCCATTAACATTGGGCTAAATGTTATGCATACCTTATTGACTACTAAAAAGTCTAAAATTTTCCTCTTTATTTTCATTTTGTGCTCCTCATCATCGTTGATGATGACGATGATTTTTGCTTTGTGCTCAATGTTGAGTAAGATGCATACAGATACCATAATACCATTTAACTTATGTACCCAATTTGTAACGACAAATGCAGCGAACCCAAGCAATAATCACGAAACAAGACAGAAAATAAACACCACTCACAAAGAATACAAAGATTTATGTAGTTCGGCAAAGCCTACGTCCACAGTGAAGTTCCGGCGAAGAATTCACTGCGAAAATCTGGAGATTACTTTCAGCCCCCAAACCCTAGCTCTCGCTCTCAATCTCTTTTCTGCAATTTACAATGTCTTTCAATATCCCCACTCTAACCCTACACGCCCTTATATATTGGGCTATAAGAGAGTACTAAACAGGGTCCACGACCCGCAAGAAAAAAATGGGTCAAAATTTTTGCCGGCCGCAACACGCCCTCTTGCATGGCATCTTAAGCAAATGAATAGCATCCATGGCCTTTTGAATTTGCACCTGTAGTTTCTCTCTCTCTCTCTCTCTATATATATATATATATCCAAACGCATCTTTTAACTCGTGTAATTGATCTATGGTTTACTATGATGCATAGACTGGAGAGTCGGTGTTCGAAGAAGCATAACAAATTTCTGCATGTTATGCGTGTCAGACATAAAGATTGTATACCACCAATTGTCATTTTCGGGCATCAGCTTACCATGATTAGCCAACATCAGGCAGCTGCAAGAGAATACTTAGAGGCTTATAAATTGATGAAAGATTGTCCACTAATCAATCTCTGCGTGGGTATGATTATTTTCTCAGATTTGAAAGATGTGGAGAATTTCATGATTATACTTTACGTTATTACGGAAACATAAGGAAAATTTTTCTCTACCATTTAGGAACTGCCTTAATTAATTTAGCCCTTGGACTCAGACTTCAGAACAAGCACCAGTGTATGCTACAAGGCTTAGCATTCCTCTACAACGGTTTGCTGCTCTCTGAGAACAGCCAGGTTTGCTATTGTCGTCATTCCTCTGAAATTTTTTGGATAATACTTTTTTGTTGTTGGTTATTTTAGATATCTAGCAGAAATAAATTTTGCTTTCCAATCTTGTCTTACTTCAATGGAACTGCTTTGCAATTGTTTGAAATTTGGAATATGCATCAATCTTTCTTCCAATTGTCCTTGATGTGTCAATGAAGATCTGTCCCTTTCTAGGTTCTTCATGTCTCTAATTACATAATATTTCTATTCTGTGACCTCTGTGCTATTCTTTTAAAATGTGGTGTTGATGTTTTGAATTGCAGGGATATTATTGTCATGCTTAATTAATTTACTCTTTTTGTCAAGTATGTATGTATTAGGGCTATTCTAGTAGAAGCATGAAACCCAAATTAGAATGTTTAAGTCATAGGGTCAATTGTAACGTCTCTCTTCTTCCATCCACTCTTTATGTCAAGTATGTATTTATTAGGGCTATTCTAGTAGAAGTGTGAAACCCGATTTAGAATCTTCAAGTCATTGGGTGAATTATAACGTCTCTCTTCCTCCATCCTTCGTAACTTAACATTCTTAATTTCTATATTAAAGTTATATAAGTTAGAATATATTAAAAAGAATATATTATATATGATATTACTCTCCTTTCTTGTCGTTATAGTTGTTTTTTTGTTCATTACATATTGTGAAATGTATTTAGTGCCAATTTTTAAAAGAAAAAGTGATTGAACATTTTGATGTATGTTCATAGTGTTGTTTCTACTACAATCATATGTTTGTTTTATGTAAGACAGAGAGTGTAGGATGTGTTGGTCAGGTGCCCGGAATTTGTTGACAAGTGTCCAAAATGTGTCAGCCAAATGTCCAAAATAATAAAAAGTATTTTTAAATTATGGACATGACCACAGCACCTCGTAGAAGTGTCTGTCCATGGTTCTTAGGTCGGAGTGATGGTGCTGTTGAGTAGATTGTTGTGAGAATGAATTGGAGTGTAAGGTGCCTTTTTGTCTTCGGTATTTATGATAAGCCCTGAAATTAAAAGCCTTATAATGCAAGTAATTTTACTCAAATGTCTTCAACACCCTAAACCTGGATTTTGGTTCTTCAAGTATGCTAAAGTACTTGCTCATGTTTCCTTGTCTGAAAATAGTAAGTTGAACAATATGTTTGCAACTTTGCAGTGGGACTTGGATACCTTCGTTTAATTTGTAACGTCTGATCGGCAATAGGAAGCTGGCCAACATTTGGTAATAGCAATTTGAACTCGTTCTGTAATTGGCATTTAAACCAATAAAAAAAATTCCTCCAATCTGAAAAAGTCAAGTTTTTTACCAAAGTTTGTAACTTTTACAGGCTAATGAGACCTTGGAATTGTTTAGGGTTTGTAGCCCTTCTCTGAGAACCTTTATAAAGTTGGATGAGGAGTTAGCTCCTTGTTGCGGCAATTATCTGAATGTTCTAACAGAAGTAATGCAAACTAAAGTAATGGTGCTGAATGGGCAGGCAAAAATACTTAGAAGTGCTCAAGAGGGGAGCGCCCCAAGTAGACCTGTCAATGGATCGGATTCTGATCCGAATCTGATCCAATTAGTCGGATATGGCTCGAGTACAAAATCCGATACCCCGATTATGATCCGAATCTGATAACTTACAAATCGGATTTGGATTCGGCCTGATCCGATTTGATCAAAATTATACATAATTATATTTATATTTTATATATCAGCAAATATCCACCGTTAGATTTGTTTAGATTACATACAAAAGACCAATCAGAATATTATATGTACAGAAGTATAATGTTCTCACCTACACAATAATATATCTCCTAGTATGTACATATCACCTAAGCTTCAATTAGCCACAAACTGAAAGCTCCAAAACCCTCCCTTTATGATAGTTTCAGGTTGGAGAAACTCAACAACCAAGAGAAAGGGTGCTTGTTGATCAGTCGGAACCCTTGTTCAGTGAGTATTTTGTTTGTATATTCTCTAATCTCTCCTTTTCCTTCTCTTCTTCTCCACTACCCTAAATTTTTATGCCCTAATTTTCTTTCTTTCACAACTTGATCAGTCGGAACCATTGTTCAGTGAGTAGTTATTTCAATTTTTTTATTTTTTATTTTTTTCTCTCTCCTCATCATCTTCTTCTTCCCCCTCTCTGTCTCAATTTTTTTTTTTTCCAATCTTTATTGTGATTTTATTTCTTTAACAAAGAGTACAAAACCAAGTGATATTATTTCACTCGAACAAAAAATTGAAATACTCTTTGTTCTACCTTCAAATAATTTCTTTTAAACATATTGTTAGTGAACTTGAGATTTTGTTTTGGTTTTTGAGTAGTTAAGAATGAGGAAGTTGTTTGCCCTAATTGATTGATTTCTACAAAAGTCTGTAATTTAATCGGATCGGATTGGACATCCGATTAAGTGTGTATCGGATATGGATTCGTCAAATAAAAATCCGTCGGATTATCAGATCGGATCGGATCGTGTGTTATGCTTATCGGATTTGGATCAGATCAACCATGATCCGGTCGGTATCCGATCTGTTGACAGGTCTACCCCCAAGGATGTACAAAATATATTAAACCTACCAACAAACCAAAAGCTCTATACCCTTAAACTATAAACGAACTCCACTAAAGCTTCCAATGATTTACAATTTCTCCCATTGACCCAAAAGAATAAAGAACTCAAAATGAAATGTTTAAATGCTGGAATAGAAGATTCCTCCCCGTCAAAGGACCTCATATTCCTTGTCCTCCACAAACCCCCCAAACACAGAGGGGTCACCCTCCAAGCATCTCGAGCTTATGCACCTACTATAAACCTATCAAACCCTCAAGCATACTCAATGTGGAACTCGTCGAAACCCAAGAGACTCCAAAAAGAGTGAGAAACATAGCCCACACATCCCTGGTTACTAGGTACACACCAATTCAACAAAAAATGATGTCGAAAAGCTTTCAAGTATGGAGTTAAAGAAGTGTGAAGCTGAGACTGGTGTATTTAAAACCGGAAAAAGAAAATAACAAAAAGGGTGGAAGAGGTTGATATATAGATGCATAATAAGAAGAGAGGGAGAGAGAGATTATCAAGAGGGAGGCAAGAAGCACACTTCGTAGCCTCTTGAGCACAAGGATTGGCAACAGATGTGTAGAATCAAGCAGGCTGCCCCCAACAGAGACCACCAAAGGGAGAGCAGCAAACAAAGGGATGGGGAAGAGAGAGGACGAAAATCTTGCCAGCAGCCTCTTTTTTTCTGGCAATGTAGAGACCCATCACAATGTGGATTAGTGCCTTTATTGACGTGATGTTGTGGCTTGAATTTTGTTTTAGTCCGGGCCGCGTTGCGATCCACCCGAATTTTTTTGACATGTTTTTCTCTTACGGGTCTTGCACCCTATTTAGGATTCTCTTGTAGCTCACTATATAAGGTGTTTAGGGTTTGGAGTGGAATACGAGAGAACATTGAAAACCGCATGAAAGAAAGTGAGAAAGAGAAACAGAGCTAGGGTTTGGGAGCTGCAACTTGCAATCTCCTGATTTTCGCATAGTGAATATTTTGCCGGATCTACATCGTGGATGCAGGCTTACGCCGAACCACATAAATCTTTTTGTTCTTTGTGTGGTGTGTTTATTTTGCTACTTGATTCTTGATTTGTTCTTAGTTCGCGGTGTTTGTCGTAACAATTGTGAATAATGTACTGCCCTGTAAACATGAGAATCTAAGAATACAATACAAAACAACTCATAGATTGCGGATTGCCAAGGTTAATGGTGCCCTGACCCTAGGTTTAGAAAGTAGTACTATTTAAGTAATCATTTGCCAGGCATGTAATCACTGAGTTGTCTTGTGGACATCGTCCACTTTGTAAGACAAAACTACTTATTAATGGTGTCATTTTATTCTCTATCAAATTGTCACAATGTGCTTGGTAATCACAACAATTTTCAGATTAGTTTCTTATTCTTTCTGTAGGAAGCTATATATAACATAGCTCGGGCTTATCATCATGTTGGTCTCGTTACCCTGGCCGCTTCATATTACGAAAAGGTACTTGCAATTCATGAGAAGGATTACCCGATCCCAAAGCTTCCGAATGAGAATCCAGATCTTCTGAACAGTCAAAAGCCAGCTTATTGTGACCTTCGTAGAGAAGCGGCTTACAATCTGCATTTGATCTACAAAAACAGTGGAGCATTTGATCTTGCTAGGCAGGTCTTAAAGGATCATTGTGCTCTTTGATTATAAATTCAAGATACATAATAGAGTCATGAAACAGTATATTTATGTTGTATGCACTCGTGTGACAATAGTTGCCGAATTTTGTACCCAAGTGATGCTTTTTCTGGAATATCATATGTTTTTTCTTCATTCGTTTTGGTTGATCACTAGTAACAAAATGACTCGTTTCCTTGAAATATTAATTAATCAACTTAATCAACAATACAGCTACAAAAACATATGAAAAATGATCAGATCAAAACATATATAAGATGACAAAAACAGGTGATCTTTGAGCATTTCTTTCAAAGGCGGCCACAATTGTATCTGGTATGACCAAACCTGTCGGGAAAGATCATCATCAAAATGACACACAATTTTCAGCAGCACAGATGAAGATTCGAGCAGCAATCCGATGATGTAGGTCTTCGTAGAGACCTGCACCAATCTCATCTTCCTCTTTCAGATACTGATCAATTGCCATTTCCGCGCTTTTGACACTAATCACTTGTTTCGCGCCATCCATGCTGCGTGTTTTCTGTGCTAAGCATCTAGCCAGGACAACTGCGTCTTCTAATGCTATGGAGCCTCCTTGTCCGAGAAATGGTCCCATTACATGCATTGCATCTCCGGCAACTGTCGCTGCCCCTTTTCTAAAGCTTCCGAATTGCAGGTCCCATGGGGCACGATACCTAGTGTCCGAAAGGGTGAGTGAGTTGGCGTCACTATTCTCTATCATCTCTCTGATTTCCATTGGAAAATCCTTAACGGACTCTAATGTTGACAGTCGAATTAGTCCTGGATCTTTATAGATTGTTGAATCTGTCATCGCAATTGTTTCAGATTAACTTGACTTGTTCAATGGTGACATTTAACTCATTTTGAAGTAATAATATGCTTTATAAAATTTAATTAATAATATGCTTTTTAGGTGCATGTCCAACAAATGTTGAAATATTTGTGGTAACGGGACATTTTTGGAAGAAAGTTACCTTTAGGTGTTCGTTCACGGGCGACGAACCAATATACACTTTTCTCATCAAGAGGAATTCTTCCTAACAAACGATGGCCTTTGTTCATTGTGACAAATTCTTCCGTTTCAGGCATCGAGGTTCTCCGTATCTGTCAAGGCCAAATTTTCATAAATTGTAAAGATAAAAGAAATGTACTGAGAATGCAAATATATATATATATATATATATATATATATATATATATATACCTGAGTGGTATTTCTTGCAGGGATTTGTTATCTGTGGATAACTCACGGAATCTGGACATAAATTAACATCAATTAACTTATTACAAGAAAAAATCATATATACATATAGAGAGAGAGATAATTTTACATATCTTACTAAATTTATGTGAGTAAAAATGACATCATGATGACATAATCATATTTGATGATGTCATTTCTTACTCGCATAAGACTGGATGCATCGATTACTTATCATTATTCTTAGTTTAAGTTCATTATTTTTTAGTTAACAATTTTACCAAAAAAATTTTGGCGGGAGTCATTCCATGAGATGCAACAAAGCAGAACTCTAACCCTATTGTTTCTCATAAATGGAATGACTTTCGATCCATTATTTCAACTGAAATATCAAGACAATGTCGTAGTATGATTCGTAAATTATACACGTTAGGTACCCAACGATGGGGATGGCAGTTTGTCCAAGAGTTGAGGCCACCCCAAGCTGATCGAGTGCACGCCAACCATTAACCTGAATACCAATTGCTGCTCCTGTGGCTCTTAGACTCTATGCTCTTTCAAGAATAATACTACTCATGCCCTTCCTGTATCAACCCCACAGACCAAATTAATACTCCACAAATTTGCAACATATAATATATATTAATTAAAATTAAAATGTTCCACACTAATTAAGAATTTTGGAACAGGTTTAGTTTTAGAGGCTTTTGGTTGAATTCAAGTCTGGCCAATTGTCCCGGTTCAAGTATCACAGAAAGTTTAGATTGTTTTCTTCCAAAACTTATTGGCCACCCTGAACTGAGCAAATTGGGTCTTTTGCAGCAAAGTTTGTAGTGACAAAAGGAATTTGTCGCAAAAAATCGATGTTTGCAACAAAAACTTATTTTTGATACCATGATGTGTTTGATTTGGCCAGCTATTAAAAGTCACTTGTGAAGAGCAAGTGCAGTGGCCGGACCACATATACCACCCCCAACTATTACTATCTCTTTTTCTTCACCAACGTCCATCTCTCTCTCTCTCTCTCTCTCTCTCTCTCTATATATATATATATATATATTTCTCTTTCTAAATGTTATAGAACGACTCAATTGTATGCTCTTGGCTTGATGATCTGTTCTGAAACAGTGGTGTCTTCTATTTATAATATACTGTAATTGTTAGCTTCACGCAAACTTGAAAAACGCGTTCGCCAATCATTTCGATAAGAAAATTTGGTTTTTTCAATATATAAGTCAACCTAAAACTTTTATGCAAGAAAAAGAAAAATTGAAGATTCTTTCTTATTCTCTTCTTCTCTCATCTTTTAAATGAGGATGTGTGGTCAGTTATGTGAACGTATTCTGATGGAAAAAAAATATAAATAAGATAATTTATTCACAAGATATAGATGATTTGGAAAAAAATGAAAGGAAGTAAAAAAAAAAAAAAGAGCGAGAAAAAAATCCAAAAAGAATAAAAATAAAGAAAAAAAAAATTGATTATATATTTCTTTCTTTTTTGTTTTTTCATACATACATTTATATATATATATGTGTGTGTGTGTTTCTTTTTCTTTTTCTTTTTTATTTTTACAACTATCCTTATATAAATGGATTTTAAGGAAAAAAAATGAAATAAAAGAAAAGGAAATAATTCATTCACCAAAAAAGAAATATATACATATATAAAACTAATTTTGTATACATCTTTTTTAAATCTCAGAATCTATCTTGTTCTTTTTTCTTCTTCTTTTTTCGGTTTTTTTTTTTCTTTTTGTTTTTATTTTTTATTTTTACAACTATCGTTATATAAATGGATTTTAAGAAAAAAAATGAAATAAAAGAAAATGAAATAATTCATTCACCGAAAAAGAAATATATACATATATAAAACTAATTTTGTATATATCTTTTTTAAATTTCAGAATCTATCTTGTTCCTTTTTCGGTTTTTTTTCTATCCTTTTTTTCGTTTTTTTTTTTTTTTTTTTCAACATTGATTAAAAGAGGAGATAAGATGACAGGTATGATTTAAAAGGGTATTTTTTTTTAAATTTCAGGTATGACAGGTATCATTTGCGTGACTGCAATTAGCATTCCTCTAATTATAATTAGTAGATTAGTGGATGAGAATGAATACCCACTTACAAACATAAACTTGTAATTTTCTCTCTAATTTTTTTTCTCCTTGTCCACATAATCTTTATATTCATACTTCCCTATTCTTTCCCTTTCTACATCATGTTTCTCTCTCTACATGATTATTCATCTCTTTTTCTTTCTCCTCAGTTGTAATTTCCATTATTGGTCAGAGAAGAAACTTCTACATGTCGTTGATAAAAAAAAGTTAATTCACTGTTAAAGGTTGAATTACATGGTTAAATATTGAATTACACTTTTCAAGTTCAGATATCTGCAACCTTAAGTAGGCCTGTCAATTCGAAAAAAAACAAAAATCATTAATCGAAAAAAAGAAAAGAAAAAAGAAGTAGGCCTGTCAATGGATTAGATTCAGATCGGATCGATCAAATCCATATCCGATTTGTTAAGCAAACGGATTATTGGATTTGGATCACTAACGGGTTAAGTAGGCCTTTCGATGGATCGAATTCGGATAGGATCGAATTCGGATTGGATCGAGATCAAATCCATATATGATTTGTTAAGCAAACAGATTATCTGATTCGGATCACTAATGGGTTCTCGAACTGAATGTACCAATCCATATCCTATTTAGTTCGAACTCAGATCGAATCAAATTCGAATTCGAATTAAAATCATAATAATTATTAACATATATAATTATAAAGTTAGATGAAGCGGAGAATTGTTAATATATAATGTTACATAATATGACTATGCAACCAAATAAATATAATAATAAATAATTAATATATATAAATTTAGTAATATATAATTAATATATATAACAAGAACACCACACATAATATTGATGAGAACACCGCACTATTACAATGTATATTAAGAGATTTATTAACAAGTGGATGAAAACATCACACTATTATATATATAACATTATGAATTTTTTTTTTTATTTTTTTTTTTTATAGATTTTTGGGTTACCTCTAATACAATTCTAATTGGAGCATTGATATAAATATATATAATTATTGGTAAATAATTATATATATATATATATATATATATATATAATTATTTACATATATAATTTAATCGGATTTGATCGAATTTTTATTTGATCGGATTAGCATAATCCATATCCGATTTGTTAAGTTAACGGATTATTAAATTCGGATCATAATCGGGTTATTGAATTTTTTGTTCAATTCATATCCGACAAATCGGATTCGGAGCAGATCCGGATCAAAATCCGCTCCATTGACAGGTCTAACCTTAAGGGGTCAACCCAGGCCTACTAGACTAATTGGGTTAGGAGACATTATATAATATATATATATAATTTTGTAACCATGTTTAGCCCCCTCTTCTTTTTCTTTTTCTTTTTCTTTTTTTTTTTTTTTTTTTTTTTTGCCTTCTAAGTCCTTTCTATACGAAGTACTAATTTTTTTTTGGAGAATTTATTAAGTTGAATTGTGCTTGAGTTAAAAAAATTTATAGTTTTAATTGAGCCAGGTTGACCTCTCAAATTGCCAAACCTACTAGAGTTACACTATAATAATGCAGGCTCATCTTTATTTATTTTAATAAATCATGCTACATGGATCGAGTTGCCTACAAGGCAACAAACATTTTACTACGCAAATTGTTTATTGTTCTAGTCTCATTGTTGAAGGGACTTTTGCATGTTTGCATTGATATATGACCTATATATACTTATGTACACATGTATGGTGAAGTTTTTCGAGTAAAATATTTGTACTAATGTAGAGTATGGTAAAGCGCAAAAAAATAATAAATAAATAAAATATCGGGTCTTTGAGTTAGGTGTGAATTAACTCACTCATTTAA